CCGACTAGTGAGATGGATACAGCATACTATAGCAGACTACCTGCCGACTAGTGAGATGGATACAGCATAATATAGTAGTCATTTCTTACCTTGTGATTAACTTGTAGCTGTTTGCTCAGTTTTTGCCAGTTTGCTTCGTCGTAATTTACTCTGTAATATCCTATCTGTTTGTAGTTTCCTTTGATCCAAGTTCCGTCAGGCCAGGTAAATTCCGCTAAGAAATAAACGTTATGAATATACCAAATAAGGGCGTATGATGCACGTATGATAATAAAGTCATCATTTGTAATTACGAGAAATATGGATGGATGGATGGAGGAATGTGAGTGAATGAAACAAAAAACATACATACCTGATGTTTTATTCATCCATATCATGGTTGATTTGACTTTGTCGGTGAAGAAGGTAAACGGAACGTACCATTTGTAACTAAATAGAAATGCATGATAACAGTCATTTTTCAAAACATGACATATTAACATAACATGACATAATATTGCGTGACATACTCGAAGGGAGATTTTTCAGTCACGTTAGATGTGGGATCCGCTAAGAAGTGCTTCTGTGTAACGGTTGCTTTGTTTCCTTTCTTTGCGACTGTGACCACAGGGTATCCCATTTGTAACGTCCATGTATCCATGACGGTCTTGACGTCTGTTTTACTGACCTATGTCATGCAATCACAAATACCTTGTCACACAATCACCGTGATAACGTCATCGGCGTTACATAAGACAAGAAAGGTTTTCGATGGTACGTACCGATCCAAGTGCATTCCAAAGGTCTTTCATTTCAGCGTCCTTGAAAGCATATGTTTGTAGGTAATACTGGAATCRAAAGATTTGAATGTTCTTTAACATCACATCTGATGAAAGAATCAACGATGCAACTGTCGATCWTGATGACTGTTGACAATAATTACCTGTAATCCCTTCGTAAATTGATCTTGTCCAAGAAAACCAGACAACATCCTGATAATCGAAGAACCCTACAAAGAATGCAGCGGCACATTAAGCTTTGCGCATGCTCATGACATTCTTTCTAATATTCACAGTACCTTACTTCATATCTACACCTTGAATTTCTTAATATCTAACAATATTTACCTTACTGTAAGATATACGATCAAATATCTGTTTAATCTTCTTGGGGTGATCGACTTCCACCGATATTGGGTGTGACGTGGCCAGGGAATCAAGCGGGAAAACAAGCTGAAGATCTAGCAGCAAAAACTGCTCCATCTGGAAAAATAACATGTTAATTGTTTTTAACTCGAAGATTGCGAAGCAATCGAAGAGTTATTGAAGGGGGACGAATCTGTCACTCACTAAGTCACTCACTCACTTTCATGTAAACTTGCTAATTCAAAGTCCACAATAAGCTGAAACGGATGTCCAACACTTACCATTTCCCAGTCTGGATAGACATGATCCACGCCCAGGTACTCCACGTAACTTGCAAACCCTTCATTTAACCACAGGTCGTTCCACCACTTTGGAGTAACCAGGTTACCAAACCACTGAAAAGAAACATTACAACTGTATGATTAAAACTCTTTCATAGAGAAACACCTAGGAATTCTCACAATAGTACAGCGTTGCTTAGCAATCCCTGTCATGTTATTACGGCGTAACTTGCTCAATGTACTGTTGACTAGGTTATTTGCAAATAAACGATTTGTTATCATGCAAACTGATTGGTTACAAAAGATGTGACATTTTCGACTAACCTGATGTGCTAACTCATGTGATATAATGGTGGCAACACTTTGTTTATTACTTTCTGATGAAACCCCAGGTTGATATAATAACCTGGTCGCTCTGAATGTAATTAGTCCCCAGTTCTCCATAGCACCGGACGAGAAGTCGGGAATGGCGATCAGGTCTAAACAAGAGTTGTTTCACAAGGAATCTATTTAGATTCTAATAACGCAATACGTATGCATTTGTTACTACTGACCTTGTTTAGGTAGTGGATAGTCTACTTTGTAATAACTCTCGAAGTATGTTATAATCTGGGATGTTACTGAGAGGGCAAACTCTGCTTGATTGATTTGATCACGTGTTGTCCAGACGCGAACCTACAACAACGACAACACAGAATTATCACAAC